GTGGCTGGTGGCTACTATATGAGACCATACAGCTCTACAGCATCCCAACCAGACTTCGCTGTAATGGTAATTTACTATCTCAATTTGCTAGCTGGTGCCCCGCAGAATAAAGAGTATCACAGAATTTTACACAGAGGATACCTGGCATATGTTCAAAGACTTTCATGATGAAAAGGCTAACTACATTATCTTTTGCCTACAGTTTGGATGTTGATCACTTCAATAACAAAATGCTTACAAATTCTTACAGACTGAGCAAGCTGGAAACAGAGGAACTGCTAAAGACCATCTAGCCCAACCCCTTCATTTTATACATGGGAAAACTAACTTGCCATCCCTTTCTCCTCAGATTATACCTGACAAACCCCATGATCTCTAGAGAGTCCAGTGCTGTTCCATACGTGCCCCCAAAGTTTCTGACAACCTTCCCAATTATTCTCTACCTCTAGGTATCCCAGGGCAAGGACCAAGTTGAGGAGAAGAAATTATTATCTATCACCATCACCATCACCGGCCAGAGTTTCCTCCTCCATGATTTCACAAAGGCCTGAGGGCAGAGGTCGACTGCAGGAAAAGAGCTAAGGGAACCCTGGGCCCAGGCTCTCGGTGCAGAGCCCTGTGGCTCCTCTCTTGACCCTGCCCACCCACCATCTTTGCTTGTCCGGTCACCCATTTGGAAAGTCTCCAAATTTAAATGTTCAAAAAAACATCTGTTCTCCTCTCATGTTACCTCAGAGCAGTGGTCTGTTTAAATTCGGGGCTTTTAGGCAAAACTGATTCCCGGAGGAACCTCCTTCCTTTTGTTATTTGCTGAATGGATCCCCAGAAAGAGGGAGAGCCCACGGTCTAGGTCCTAGAAATGAAAATTTCAAAGTTCTGGAGAGATGGAATCTGATTTTCTTATAAAAAGAAAAATATATTTCTTTTTTTTAAAACCGGAAATTAAGAAGAATGCAAATGTACGTCAGTCTAATTCTTATTCCTGTTATTATTTAGAGGTCTTGGGTCATACTATTAAGGAGAAACATCTGTGACATAGGCACTCATTCATCAAACACTTATTGAACACCTTTCCAGTCACTATGCTAGGCATAGCATTATCCTATAGGAGAGACAACATTCATCCATTCAATAGTTATTAAGCCCTTTCTAGACAAAGAAAGTTCATATATTCATAGAACTTACATAACAGTAATGGGAGGCTTTCAATAATCATGTGTACAGAATAGAAATATCATTTGAGATAGCATAAGTCCTAAAAACATAAAAGCAGTAGGATAGAGCATGACGGGTGGGGTGAGGAATGTGCTACTTTGGCTAGGCTGCTCAGGAAAGATAGCTTTAAAGAAATGACATTTGAGCTAAGGCCTGAATGTTGGGAAAGAGACAGATGAAAAACAATGTCCCAGGTGGTAGGAACAACGTGTGCAAAGGCCCTGAGATGAGAACAAGCCTGCCATGTTTTAAAAACAGAAGGCTGGTAAGGTTGGAGTGAAGTGAGCAAGTGGGAAGTGGTAGGAGAAAAGGTCTGAGAAAGAGACAGGTTCAGATTATACGGGGCCTTGTAAGTCAATGTAAGAGGTGTGGATGTTATTCCTGAGAAATGAGAAAGCATGGGGTGCGGGGGAAGGTGTAAGCATGAGAGAGGTGGTAGGTCCAGATTCATGAATTGTGGATAAAATATTATATAATTATGGATAAAATGTTTACAATACAGATAGATGACTGCAAAGCAGGCCATTACAAAGTATTATAGGAACTATGCTAATAAAAAATCTGCATTGCAGGGAGGAGGTCAAGAAAGACTAGGCATTTGGGGGTGATAGCACTCCCAGCCATCACAGTAGATGCAGAGGTTTGGAAATGTGAACATGACACACGTGAAACATGATGGCACATTAGAAGGGACCACAGGTAATCAGCACAGAAGATAAGTAGGTTTAAGCTATGCATTAGAGGGTCTTATATACCAGCCGTGGGAACTGAATTTATTTTGCAGACCACTGGTTCTTAACTTGACTCTTAAAAATACTGGTACCCAGACCCATGACAGACCAATTATGTCAGAAGTTCTGAAGTGGCAGGGCAGGTAATGGTGTATTTAAAATCTCTCTAGGTGATGCTAATGCAAAACCAGTGTTGAGAACCACCACTGCAGGTGATGACTAAGGGCCACTGAAGGGTCAGGGATAAGCAGTAACAATTATTTATTTTCCATAATAAATTTGTTTTTTCTAAAGGTTATATTTTAGAATACAGTATTTTTAAAGTATAATATATTCAGGCAATGATGACAATTACCTACATTTGCATTGAAAATTTTTGAACATTGTTGCAAATAGAGTCATAAGTTTGCATTTCTCCTGAATTCTGGCTCTTACGACAGTTTATGAGAAATTCAGAAACTTCCAAACAGGAGAAACCATCAGCGGGGCAGAGTCAATGGATTTTAGAACCAGAAGGGTATTCCAGAGAACTCCCCTTATTTTACGGATATTAAAAAATGAGGCCCAGAAAGATGCCATGACAAGGCCAAGGTTACCCAAGGTTAGCGACAAAGACAGAAACCCAAGCTCTTTCCTCCACACCATGCTGCTGCTTGTTTATTACTCAAATAAGAAAAGCTATCCTAATTTCTGGACTTGGCATTTCTCACAATATTAAGTAGATCGTGAAAGAGCACTTAATTTTAGGAGAGAAATATAAAAGAGGAAGAGGATGAAAAACAAAAGTCCAAACTAATCAAAGACAGTTTTTGACACATAGAACTTTATTTTTCAGGTTCTCTCCTTAGTTAATGTTCTCTGACATTACCACTTCTTCTGATGCTTTATTTTGATATTTCCATAGACTTCTGTAAACTGAGAATTTATTCAAAGTCAGACAAGTTTTTCACAGGTTAGTAATACTTGTTCAAGGCGCATATTTCAAAATGTAGACATACATCTTTCTCTAGCCTCCAGAAGATGGAAGAGTTTGAAGCAACAGACACAGAAGACTGGGTCCTTTCCCCATGCCGCAGGTCACATTTGTAGAACAGAATCCTTGGCTCGATGTTAGAATCAAACACTTGAGGATCTTACGAGTCTCTATTTGGAAATTCCAACACTGAAGGCTAAAATATGCTGCATATTTTATAGGTGTGCCAGGCAAATGCAGCAGCGGTGTCACTTGCATTTACACTGCCACCTTTGAGCTTGAGAGCCATGATTCATACAGCAGCAATGGCCAATCATACGTTTCTTCTCCATTTCTTGATGAAGTGTTCCACTTTACTCTCCTGTGGACAAGCCAAGGGAAGTGTACTGAGATTTTCTTAAACAGAGGTAAGGGATGTCTCAGTCAAGGTCCCTGTGGACAAGCCAAGGGAAGTGTACTGAGATTTTAAATGCCAGCTGAGTTTATCTCAACAGAGGTAAGGGATGTCTCAGTCAAGGTTACTGCCCAATCTGGACACAGCGATGGCTATAGAAACCAACTATACATTTAAGTGTGTGAGTTCTGCAGTGATTCTAAAAGACAGTGCTTTCTGCTGCTCCGAATGACCACAGAAGAGTCTGAGTTCAAACTGAACTGTGTGTCACCTTTGAAAAGTATGATCATCCCCAGCAGGAGCAGATGTTGCAACTGAGTCAACAGAAATAGTGGCTTGGCCAAGGCTTGGTCATGCAGAGATAGAAGCAAATCTCCAGGCATTAAAAATCAGTCAGGTAGCCTAGGAACAAGACTGAGTACAGGGAAGCTCAGGTGGAGGAGCACAGAGCTTGGAAGTTGGCTCGGAGCAAGCGTGCAGGTGAAAACTATGTGGTACATGGTCAAGGGCCACTCAGCCCAGGGGTGGTCACTTCTGACTTTAAAGGGACCAAGCTCATCTGGAGGGTCACCTATGCTTTTACAGCCATAATCCTCTGAAATTGTCTTGGGATCTTCTCAAACTAGATCCAGAACTCTTTTGCCGTCTGGAATAGAGATAAGGGCTCCCAGAACTGGGTTATCTTTCCAAACTGTGAAACTACATTTTGTACTCCTTTGAGATCCTCAGATATTATTTTCTTGAATAACTTCTTTATTTTGTTTTAAACTCCCCAAAAGATATCACTACCTTACATTATCTAGTTTTTGCCTGTTACCTCTCAGTATCTTTTAGAGACTTATCCAATTTTTTTAGTCCCTGAGTAAAGGTCATAAAATAGTTTCATGTCCTTGTTGTAATATTTATACATTTCTTCTACCTTTATATCATTTCTTTTTACTTATTATGCAGCTCTAATTCTAGAACACATTACATGTTTTAGAATCTATTTCCCTCCTCTGTTTTCTGGAGTGCCTCCAACTTATAAACTTCTATAAAGAAGAACAACAAAAAATATATTTTAATGTCATCAACAGATTTAGACTACAGGATGCACACCCTAACACAGTATTAGACGAAGATATTTTTCTCCAAATTACTTTCATTATCACTTGCAAAGTGACTTGTCAAAATGAATACTTTACCACCTCTTTTCTGTAACACTTCTTATACTCTATATATGGTGGTTCCCTTCTATTTTTAATGCCCTAGAGAAACAAAAGCTGATTCAAGTGTCATTATCATGAAGTCCATGGTTCCTTCCCTCTGTGTGAGTGATCAACCATCCATCAGCAAGTCCTGAAGGAGATGCTCGCTCTTCATAGATGCTTCCATTGCCTGATCATATCCTCACCCTGAAGAGGTTTGCCAAGAGTGTCTTCTGAAACTGGGGATAATGTGCACATGAAACCTGGCCGACATCTATTTTCAGGCACTCATACCAGCATGCCAGGAGAACACAGTACTTTTTTTATTTTTTACCATTCTCATCTTCAAATGTCATTTCTATGATGTGTTTTGAATACAGCTAAGGGGACTGTGGGTAGTTTGTATGTGTTCCCTGTGTGGTCCTGATGAAGATGCTGCTGTTT